ATTACACGGCCAGAAGTGCTGCTCCACTCTCTGGGGTACTATTACTCCTGATCCCAGGGCGAGCAGTGCCTGGGTATTACTGAGGTGTCAGAGAGAGCTACAGCAGACTCAAATACCAGACACTCTGGAAAGGCAGAGGAGCACATGCAATATGAAAAGGGAGCAGCTTGCCCCAGCCTAACTGCAGTGGAGTCTGTTTGATCTCTCCCTTTCAGCATCCACAGACCCTTTCGCAGGGATGACAACCCCTGGATTACTCTACCAGTTTTTAGGGATGGCCAATTTTATTCAGCACTGCAGTTAACCTGATCCAGAATTCAGATTACTGTCACCACCGCCTTGTTTTTCTTCTTCCTAGTAGAGGATACAGCACCAAATGATCACAGGCTGTACTGAACGGCAGACAGCCCTGCTGCAGTGAGCTGTACGAGGTTTTGCTGCCACAGGAAGATACACGTGTCCTTTGAGGGCTCCCTTCTGCATCACTTCAGCCATCGGTTCTTCAGTTTGGGTTTGCAGCCATGCACAGTGATTTCTGGTTTAGTTCGGGCAAGTGCTCTTGGAAATTGCTTTTTGAGCAACTGTGAAGGGTGAAGACATTGTGTGAACGTATCCTGACTTGTGCAGAGCAAAATCCAGTGTCACTCAGTCCGACTGAAACCTCAGTTTGCTGTCAGACATGCTGTTGAAAGCCTGTGACAGTGCTCTGCTGCTCTGTCCCCAGGCCCTGTGGCCAGCAAGGCCAGAGTGTCACTGGAGTCTGGGTCCTCACTCCAAATTACAAACCCCATAGGAGTAAACTTAGTTTAAAAAGTTCCCACCTTTATTCACTTTATCTAATCATCCTTCACAGTTTAGCACATTTTCAGTTATACAGATTAAGCCACATTCTAAATTGCATGTGGGTGAACCAGAGGTGAATAAATCCAAAAAGAAGGGTTCAGAGAGCTGAAACCAGCTAACTCCAAAGCAGGTGTGCTCATGCCCAGCCCCACAGCGCTCAGGAGCTTGTGGTAGGTACCAAGGATGCCCATCCTCAGCTCCCAGCTGCTGCACGCTCCTTATAGGTATTGAACATGACCACATCCAGCCACCACCCTTTGGTCCTTCACTGTGAGGACACATTTTGAAACAAGAAATCAGGAGGATGAACAGTGAGGACAGAGCTGAATCCACTCTGTATTCCCACCCATACAGCTCTTCTTCCTCTTCTCCTCCGTAAGCTGGTCCCCAGGTTAAGCCATCTGTGCTCAATATTCAGAACTCAGAGAGGCGTATGGGAAAGACGAGCTCAACTCTGCAAACAGTGGAGTGCTGGGGGACTCCACCATACGGATTAGATGGCACCACTGATTTTCACGTGACATGAACAGAAATGAGTCAACAGACAGGTCTTAGAGCACTTAAAATACAGTCTGCAAACAAAATGTGACTCAACCCTAATTACAGCAGAGATGCCTCTTCACTATAATTTATCGTTCACTTACAGTCATGCAGATAAGGTATGTAAGTAATACAAAGTCTGGTGTACTGTGAAGCCAGATGCCAGCAAGGCAACTTAGACAGCAGGGGCTCCAAGAGCTTGTGGAAGACTAGGTGGAATGTCAGATAACTTGATTTGTCTTTTTGGTAACAAGTTCAGAACAGTGCTTTGTTTAGGCAGCCTTAGTGGCCGACACGTGCCAGTCCAAAGCAAAGGGTTTAACTTTTTGTTACTTACAGTGACATGGGGTTCTTCTTCAGGAAAGTAAAGTCTGTGCGAAACGGTCCAAATACAAATTTGTACTTAACCATCTCCTGATGCTATTTAAAAGCAACATACTGAATTTAAGTGACAATGGCATAAAGCAGAGTCTGGGAAAGCATGGGCTGTTACAGACGAGCTTTGGTGACTCACGCCTCTGTTGCTTCAGAAGTGCTGAGGCATAGATCCAGGTTGCACTTAATTAGCTCTTCCCTGGGAAGCAACCTCTGGCAGGACCAACAACTGAGAAGGCCAAACACCTCCCCTGCTCCAGTCCGAATCTTGCATTTTGATGAAACCAGCAAAGTGACAGAAGTGACAGGATCTCAAGACTGAATCACATAGGGAAAAAAATCCACAAAACATCGATTCAGGTGAATGGATAGGCATCCTTGTGTGAATACTGCAAAATCAGCTTTACAGCGTCGGGGAAACGCAAGGTAGAAACATTTAGTTTCCACATTTGGGAAAATACAGAGATGGACCAAGTTCCACAGACTTCATTTGCCAACTAATCTACTGAGATTTCTGAGTGGGTAAGGGAATAAACTAGATTTACTTCCAGCTACAGCAGCCAGTCTGGAAAGGAGAACACATTTTAGCCTGACCGCTTAGTACCTTGTAAGCTTTGTACTGAAATATGTCTGCAAGCTACAGAGATTTTAGTGGCTGTACTAGCTTACTGGCTTTTACATGCAATCCATAGAGAAAGAAGATGCATGAAACATGGGAAGAGTGCAGATTTGTCCATCAACACAGTCCATTCAAGGTTCAAAGTGTTAAAAATTTGGGATTTGCATGGCTCAGCATTACATCTCAAATGATTGTTGAGAACAAACCAAGTGCTTGACTGTCACAGGAACAACTTGCTGGGTGGGTACAGTTCTGTAACACGAAGGTGTAAGGTAGAGTTAAAAATGAATTGTAGTCAAAAGTTCAAACCCCAATGACCTCATGGTGTGAGTATGTGGCATTCACAAAAGTGCCTGCAGGCTGAATAATCTCCAATTAAAAAACAACCTGGCATAAGTATCTTTGGTACCAAGCTACCTCCATGCTGAGGGAAGCATGCTGTAAAGGGGGAAGAAATGAGCAATGAAACCCTCCTAAGAAATGGCAGGGAGAAACCCTACCACTCTTTCTTTTTTGTAGTCACTCTGAGTGCCACAGCTTTAGGGTTGCGTACGGGATGAGGAACAGGCCTGGAAAAAAGAGCAGACAGAGTTTACACCCCTTGGATAGGAGGACAGAAGTAAACCCTACCCTGCACAGCTCCTGCTTCCAATCCACAGCCGCCAGCTCCAAAAGCTTTGCTTTCCTGGATCAGAAGAGAGGTCTGGATGCAGCTGCACCGTTTGGGTGGCCGCAGTCGTTGTGCCATACAGAAGGCTCCAGGCAGTGCTCACAGCAGAAGGAGGGGGCTACCCTGGCTGCTGCCCTACCAGCCAAGGAGTCCATCCCCTGGCCACCATCTCCTGCAAGGCTCCAGCCCACACCCACTACACAAACCCAGAGCTGCCACCAGTGCACACTCCGTATTTTAAAGAACTGAAGTGAGCACTAAAAGGCACTCACAAGTAACCTAAAATATGTTATAATATAAAGAGAAAGTTGAAATTGCATGCTAGATAATAACAGAATGTGGTGTTAAAACTAAAATTGCAGTAACTTTTATCCACCCAATGTACACATTCATTTAAAAACGGTACTGGTTTGTTGGGAGCCAAGGGGAGGGACCAGCTGAATTTCTCTTGGGTCATGATGGCAGATCACCACTAGATGGTAGATGAGTAGCATTAACTCTACTTCCCATTTTATTCCTGAGAAATACAGCTGACATATGTCCGTTTCTGGCAGTGTGAAAGCACCTCCTTGCATATGCTCTTAAGTGAGAATTTTGGAAAAGATGGATGGCTGTGGCAGCTCTGGGGCTCCAGAACATGAATAACCTCAGAGCCGCAACATTTATACACACGGGGCTTATTTTTCTAATCTTACCATAGCTGCAAGCACTACGTAAACAAACTCGCTTTTCTCCGTCAGAAGGACAATATTGATAAGCTCTGTAACCACTTACAATTAGTTTGCAAAAACCATGCCAGGCTATTGAAAGTAAGACAGCTTCACAGACATCCTAAGACATGACAGCATGAAAGACTGAAGTTTGTGCGGCTGCAACAATTGCCTTTGTCTACCTCATAGCTAAGGTATAAGATACTTTTAGTGAAATGGAGGTGGCTTAAAAGATACGTCAGCTTTATTTTGCAATTAGCTTCCATATCCATACAGATACAGAGGGGTTTTTGCCTGGTGCATTTTTCCCGGTGAGTAGCAAACCCTTTGCTGCTGCCTCACCCCGAGTAGCTCAAAACCACACTCCTGCACATCGCTGGGGCTGAGGGGAGCCACACCATTTCAGACGGGTGCAGGATACGTCTGACAGCTCTTCACCAACACTGCCAAATCACTGCAGCTGCTCCAGTGCCAGCTTACACAGTGCTTTAGGTAAGGGCACAGGGTTATTACGTGAACTTACCTCAGAAGTGCTGCAATACATCTATCTACCCATCTATTGAGAGTATGAAATCATGCATTAGGTGCAGTGAAATGCTGGTGTCATCACCAAAACATTAGCAGCAACACACTCAGCCCAGCATCTAAAGTACTGCTGTTTGAAATTTGCAGGCAAAAAAGTAACCCAGCAGTTTACCCTCAGCATGGGCCATCACTGCACAGTGAAAACATCGGATACAACTGAATGCTTAAACCTCCATACGGTATGTTTCACACCACGCTGCTCTACAAACACTACCATGTTCTGCAAGGCTTCCACAGGCAAGGTGTTTTACACTAAATCAATGCTACTTCAAAATATACAGACTCTTTAGAGACCTTTCAGCTTGGAAGGAACTACAGCCAAATATTACCCTGCTTAGGCTGGTAAAATCTGACAAGACCACATGACAAGGTGGTGTATCTGCAGGGTGCAATAAGCTGCCCTTGAAAATGTACCTGAATAGCTTTGCTGCCAAAACTTTCTTTGATATTAATGCACAAAGAAAAAATAATTTGACGTTAGCATCCAAAGAGAATATATTAAAGGAAATAATTACTGTTAGCATATTTTAGCAATAACAAGCTGCAACAGCCATTAGTATTCAGGTTGTTTTGCATTGTTTGCATTGTTTTGCATTAATAAATACAAAACCTGATAGATATATACACAGCTTCTGAAGGATTTTGCTTTCTTTCTTACCTCTTCCTTTTTCTCTTCAGCACCAGAGGCTAAATTGAGGCTCAGCTGAGAGTGACTGCTTATGCCACTGTCTTCATTTCCATCATCATAGTACACAGTTTGCACTGAGTCCTGGAAACAAACAGGATTCCTGCCCAGCTTCGGCCCCGGTACCTCGACCCTCTCCTCACTCTCTGACGAGCTCAGTGACAACGTGCTGTGATGGTTTGGGCACTGGAAATTCATATTGCACTTGATCTTCTCTGCAGTGGGACTTTGAGGCTTTGGAGTAGTCGGCCTGACCGGAATGTGAGGGTTTTCAGCTTCATATGGAAACTGCTGGGTAGCTTTTGGTTCATCCGAGTCCGAATAAAACACTTCATTGGGAAATGGACTAATGTCATCCAGCGTGGGTGATAAGCTGCCAGAGTCTGGGATACCTGATGACGTCCTGAGGCTTTTGTCTTCAGCAGCGGCTACATTCATTCCAGCCTCTTTATCCTGAGCAACTGCAGGGCTTTGCAGACAAGGTGTTCCCAGCAAGGAAGAGTCTGGACTAGATACTGGGGAGGTGCATCTCTTTCTGTCATGATCCGTGCTGCTGGAAACCCTGCGGGAGTAGTCATCGTGCAGTCTGCTGTTTGACCTTGTTCTCTGGGACTGCTCGCTAGGAGAAGGAGCCGGGCTCTTAGAGCCATCCTTCTTCCATGCAGCATCTGTAACATTACCGACAAGTTTCAAAACTCGGTCAAAATCCTTTGCCCTGATAGGGCTCTTCCATCGCTTGGATCTCCTCTCAGGGTTCCCACCAGTTTTGTCCGAGTCAGCAGAATTAGCACTCACAGACCTTGTTGGCATCTGTTTTTCATTTGCAACCTTGAGGTCAGTAAGGTTTGAGGTGGACTTCCGTTTGAATGAGCTTTTTTTCAAAAAATTCAAATTATCCGAACTTTTGCTTCTCCGATAAATGATCCTGTTGTTTTCAGAGTCTTTCACCAAAATTTCACAGATCTTTGGCTCTGCGATGACAGGTGATGTTGGCCTAGTACAGTTGTGATGACTCTGAACTTTATCTGTATCTACCAAGTTTATGCGGCCAGCACCATAAGCCCGCCTGATGCTGCGTGAGCGATGAGTATTCCTCAGGAAAGACTCATCGCTCTCCTCCGCATCAGAGCAGTCAGAAGCTAAACCATCCACGGCGTTCTGGAAATCATGCAGAGGCCCTGAATAGGAATATCTGTTATTCTGAACTTGCACCACTGCCCCGTTCGAACCGTGTTTGCCTACGCCATTCTCATTTAAGATGTCTGAGCATTCCCTTGTTTGAACTCCTTGGAGAACTGAAGATTTCAACTTCTTGAAAGATCCCATTTTTCTGATGGAAGACAAAGCATTCCACGTGGACGAGTTGCCCATCAAAACCAGAGAACGAGGCCTGTCAGAGCTGGAATTAGCCCGTTTCCGAGGGGTGGTGAAAAAGCGCATGATTTTGGAAGGGCTGAGTTTATCCTCTTGAATTTCCTCATCATGACCGTTGCTGGTGCTGTATCCCCCATTATGACTGATACAGGTAGTCTGGTTTTGGGGCTCTTTATTATCCATAACTATACAAGTAACGGTGGTGCCGTTTCCACAGCCATTGGGAAACGTTGTCATGCTCTCGATGCTGTACGCATGGAGACAGAGGCTGGGGGAGCTCCGAGGGACACTGCTGTCTCCACCAACCGA